TGGCTGAGGGAGCAAGTTGTGGTTAGGGGAACAGGACTGGAACACCCGGTCATAAATAAAGGTACAATCCGTTCCGCAGCAGTCAACAGCGCAGCAATCAAGTGCCTATACAACATGTAACAAAAACCCTGTGGTTCCCGTTAAATACGTTATCAGGATCATCATTCAAACGTATAGAAATAACTTTTTTATTAAAAACTCGAACAATCTTTTTTTAAAATTATATTTAAAAAAATAATTGTATGCAAATTGTTGGTGGTTTTATTATCTCTGATTTGTCTGGGGAGTAATAGGATTGTCAAAAACCCCGCGTTTCTTAGCTTTAGCATCGGCTAGTGTCAGTAAGAGGTAATAAAACCACATAAAATTAAAAAAAAATTAATAAAATAAAAAGAAATTATGGTCGAGTTTTTAAAAAAACAGTTATTTCTATAGGTTTGAATACTGATCCTGATAACGTACTTAACGGGAACCACAGGGTTTTTGTTACATGTTGTATGCATATTGAGAACGACTGCGTACTATATGTGTCAATATTTTTAAATGGCAACTAAAACTATTTTTTGTATTCACGAAACGCGTATTTCTATTTTCATACGTATAAAGTGTGTTATGTAATAGCAATAAGTGGGAATATTATATGTTTCAGAAAGATATATCTTTTAATAGGTACTATCATATATTTACAATGATTTGGAATATGTATTTAGTAATTTATATATAGATGTTAAGATTAATTTTGTCGTCACTATGGCTCCATAAGAGAAACCCATGTAACCTTTATTTATGTAGTATTGACTTGATATTCAGTTTGTAATCAAATCAAAAATCAAAAAAACAAATAAAAAAATCAAAAATCCGAACCAGTGGTAATCAAACAAAAGAGTGACTTTCAATAAGTATTATTTATAATCTATATTGAATAAAAAAGTTTCTGTTTCTGTTTCTGTTAAAAAATACCAGTTGTCATTGTTAAACAGTATGACGCAATGTATGTATATCTACATGTTACCGAGTATCACCGTGATAACAATCCCAATTATAGAGTTTCACATGTGAGCGTAATGTTTTGACTTAGTAATTTTATCACTTCATATTATGGTTAGTGTATTTTTAAAGAAACAATTTTGTAAGTTTGAAATTTTTAATAAAAAAATTTTAGGAGGGATGTTATGTAGGGACACAGTAGTTACATACATTTTGCTGAATTGACATTTTATACTTGTGTCCGGACTCCGGACTGCGCTCGACGGCGAACGCAAGTCGTTTCCCGTCACAGCCCACGCTAGGCCGCTACCAAGTAGGAAATATAATGCATCGTCCGTAACATATAGCTTAACCTGTTTTTTGCAAAAATTGTAATTTCTGAATACGACATCAGTGACTTTTGAGATTTTAATTACTGAACCCGATAGGCACCTTAGGCACCTTCTGTGAGTCATATTGCGAGGCCATCAGGCATTAGTAATTAGTACATTATTAGCCAACAACGTCGCGCCTTCTCACTCATTTCTCGCACAACGTTTTCAACTATTATATCCTACAATTAAATATACTAAACACTAAACAAAAACGATTTCAATGAGTGTTTGAACAAGTATTTAAAAAAAAACTGTGTACATAAACAGCGTTAAAAAGCAGCGTATATCGACAAGGGTTGCGTACCTTATAGTCAGAATCACCAAACTGTATTCGTTGAAGGTCATACAGGTTTACGCACCAACCTCGGCACATCCAGATCTCGAGGTGGAGGAAATGTATGAGGATATCTCTAAAGGCATGCATTCCTCCAAAACCCACTATACGGTGTTAATAGGATACTTCAACGCAAAACTACGCACGAGAGAGAATGGTGAGCTGAAAGTAGGGAAATTCGAAATAGGGCAACGGAACTCAAGGGGCATGCAGCTGGCCGACTTCATGGATAAAGAGGGACACTTTATGATGACCTGTTTCTTCCAGAAGCGGAAGCCCCCAAGCCCCACAAGAAGTGGACTTGGCGAGCCCCGACGACGGTTCGACAAATAATGAAATTGATTTCATTATGACGACTAAACGACAACTATTCAGTGTTCTCTCAGTGGTCGCGATAAGACTGCAATGTAGTGGAGGATATAAATGACAAGCTCGTGGAAACTGTCCATGCGGTCGGAGCTAACTTTTGCAAGAAGCGCCGCAGAAGAACACAAAAACTCTCCGATCACATTCATAACCTCATGGCTGTTACATGGAAATGAAGCTGCAGCCTTCAATAGATTTGACAGCATACAGACCACCGAACAGGCAGATCTCCAAATGCATGAGGCGGGACTAACGCAACTTAAATACAGCTTGTATTGAAGATGCGGTCGGGCGAAATCAAGGCTCCAAAGTCTTTGCCAGAGATCTGTCTGCCAGGAAGAGCTAACTGTCAAAGCTGAAGACCGAGTGTGGCAGCATCGTTTCCGGGACACTTGAGATTTTGAGTGAGATTGAGAGTTTCTATGGGCACCTGTACACGTCATCGTTGGAGTCACACGCAAGTGTGAGTAACGATCCAAGAGCAAGTCTTATCCGATACTATTTCATGATATCTCGGACGTCAGTCTGAGCGAGATTAGAATAGCTCTCCAGCACTTTAAAAACGGCAAGGTCCCAGACGAGGATGGAATTACAGCGGAGCTTCTGAAAGTGGGTAGAAAAACGGTACTTGAAGTCCTTCAGAAGCTCTATAATTCCGTCTTCTATTGTGGCACTACACCGGGGGCGCGGAGCAGAAGTGCGGTGGTCTTATTCTTCAAAAAAGGTAACAATGCTCTCTTGAAGAACTACAAACCGATTTCCCTTCTGAGCCGCGTCTACGTGTTGTTTTCAGTTTTCAGAGTCATTACGAATCATCTCGTACGCAAACTTGACGACTTCGAGCCTACGAACAAGCCGATTTTCGAAAAGGCTTTAGTACCATAGACCACATACATACCTTTCGGCAAATTGTAAAGAAGACCGAAGAGTACAATCTGCCACTTAGCCTTGCGTATGTGGACTATGAGAAAGCCTTTGATTCTGTCGAAATTCGGGTGGTCCTACAGTCCCTTCAGCGGTGCCATGTTGACTGTCGGTATATCGAAGTGCTGAAGTGTTTGTACAGTAGGGCTGCGATGACTATCTGAGTACATAATCAGAGTACAAAACCTATCCAACTGCAGAGAGGTGTAAGACAGGGTGACGTTATACCCCTGAAACTTTTCACCGCTGCATTAGAAGTCGTTTTCAAGCTACTGGACTGGAAAGGATACGGTCTTAACATCAATGGCGAGTACATCACTCACCTTCGATTTACCGACGATATAGTCCTTATGGAAGAACTGCTGGAGGACCTAAGCAATATGTTCAATGGCCTCAATAGTGTCTCCCAACGGATAGGTCTTAAGATGAACATGGACAAAGCAAAATCATGTTTAATGTTCATGTCACACCTATGCCGATAACTGTTGGAAGCACTAAGCTCAAAGTTTTAGACGAGTATGTATATCTGGGATAAATAGTCCGACTAGGTAAGTCCAACTTCGACCGAGAGATCAATCGATGGATTCAACTCGGCTGGGCAGCGCTCACGAAATTAAGACACATCTTCTCGTCAGGTTACCTCAAAACCTAAAAACGAAATCGTACAACCAGTGCATGTTGCCAGTGATGACTTATGGAACTGAGACGTCGTGCTTCACTGCTGATCATATGAGGACGCTCAAGGTAGCTCAGCGAGCTATGTAGAGGGCTATGCACGGGGTTTCTTTGCGTAATAAACTTAGAAATGAGGATATCCGCAGTAGAACTAGAGTGACCGACGGATTAGTAAGCTGAAGTGGCAATGGGCTGGTCATATAGCTTGAAGAACTGACAATCGATGGGGAAAAAACGTTCTCGAGTGGCAGTCTCGTACCGGTAGGAAACGTGTAGGGCGCCCCCCAATAGATAGAGTGACGACCTAGTAACACATGCAGGAAGTCGATGGATGCAGCTGGCTCAGGACCATGCTTTAAGGCATTCTTTGGGGGAGGCCTATGTTCAGCAGTGGACTTGTGAAGGGCTGTAATGACGATGAACCATTTGCCTATATTACTTATTCTGAACCTTCTCTGCAAATTTCGCCGGTTATTGCAAAATAACCCTGTATATACTGTAAGTACACTTTTTGTTAATCGTCACAATTTACCATTACCGTAGCCTATAAAAAGTCTTCTGCTAACATACGGGGCAGGCCCCCATATATTGCGTAAAAGGGGAGTTATTTGCCATACTTGCACTGCATAGCAGGCGGGTTCACAACTGCTATATATTGTTTGAGTTGTTATAAATAAAAACCTGCTTCCCATCACCTTATTGGTTTCCCTCTGTCGCCTTTATGACATCCACGTAACGATATAGGGTGGTCGATATTCTTACACCGCCAGAACACTAAAAGCTTGACAATTTTACATGGTAGAGCCATGCTGCAGCTATATTAGTAGTATAGTTGTAGCACGAATGGGTCGGCTCGACTGGGGAAGGACCACGCTCTCACAGAAAACCAGCGTAAAATAGCAGCTTAACACTGCTGCGTTTCGTACGGTGAGTGTAGAGAACCGGATACCCTTATTACTGGCAAAGAGGCATCCCATCTTAGTCCTCACGGGTGACAACGCATCTGCATCTTGAGTCTTTATTCAGGATAGATGTAGATGTCTATGGGTCACAGTAACCATTTAACATCAGGTGAACTGTGTGCTCGTTTGTCACCCTATCCTATAAAAAAAATAAAATTCATGGTTATAATTTTATTGTATCGTAATTCTATTACATATAATGTTTACTTATTTTAGATTCTATTGTTTTTTTTAATTGCTACACTTACGTCAAATTGTCACCACCATGTTCTAATTGGTATAGAATGTCTTTAGGCATTGAGTTCGTCCTTTGTATCCTTTTTTCCTAAGGGACAATAAAGATTTTAAATAAATAATATTTTTTGAACAAAATATTACCTCCATAGGTGATTGCATTAACTGTGCCCATATCGAGCAGGGTGAGCTGCATGTCGCACTGCGCCCTCGTGAAGATGTACGACACGGAACTGGTGACCGAGACCGCGCTCCAAAAGGCGGGCAGTGTGCACAGCATCAGCGCCACGTTGAACCTTCCGTAGCCGGTTGCCGCTATAGCCACCTCAAAGTCCGCTTCTGGTTCTAGAAGAACTCTTTCAGGTTTTAAAATGAAACTTAACTATCAAGGTAAGTACCAATAATAATGTCCTTCAGATCGAATTAGATCGCGGCGCCCATTCTCCGAGGCACCGCGGTGAAATACCACCAACTTCTTGACTCCGGGCAGAAGCACTGAGAATTTCTTGGCAGAAAAACCCAGTAACAGTAACTGATATCGGCCTGACCCGGATTTCGAACCCAGGTAATCAGCAATCGCGGTTACGACCACTAGACGAACGAGGTAGTTAAAGTGAGTACTATGCGCGTAATGGTAGCGTGATAGAACCCACTACCCCATATTATCATCCCGTGGGTGTCATAAGAGAAGATAGAGGGAAACTGAAACAGGAGATGGGCATCAGTATATTCCTGTTAAGAGATCAAATAATAAAAAAATGCGTGAGTGTCGTGGAACACTCGGTTGGAACGAAGTTCTTTGCGTTATTATTATTGATAAATGTAGGTATTATATTATTGATTAACAAATACAAATAAATGAATTACTAGCGTCTATTAAAATGAAGCGTCATTTAAAATAAAATACATTATGACACAAGGGGTGGTGACGAAAAAATCTTACACTTTTTGTCGCCTAGCTCCCATCCGCCAAACCCGTACCGTCCGATAAGGAACTAACACTTTAACTCGTGGTAGAGCCATGCTGCAGTTATATTAGTAGTATAGTTGTAGCACGAATGGGTCGGTTCGACCGGGGAAGGACTACGCTCTCACAGAATACCAGCGAAAAATAGCAGCTTAATGCTGCTGTGTTTCGTATGGCGAGTGTAGAGAACCGGAGACCCTTTTTACTGAAAAAGAGGCATTCCATCTTAGTCCTCACGAGTGACAACGCATCTGCATTTTGATTCACAAACGAGGATAAATGTAGATGTCTATGGGCCACAGCAACCACTTACCATCAGGTGGACTGTGTGCTCGTTTGTCACCCTATCCTATAAAAAAAAACTTCGTTCCAAAAGAAACATGTGTGCAGTTCACACGTGGTGGAAATTAAACCGTCGGAAAACTAACCTTCGAGAGAATGGGACGAATACGCTCTGTATTCGTCCCATTCTCATCAGAAGTAGGACAATTATCGTAGGGTTTATTTAATGAAAAAAAAAAACAAATTATAATAAACTCTGTATACTGTATTCTATCTCGCTCTCGCAGGCTAAATCCAGTAGATGTACGAGTATATGTTTGTCTCTTTTTTAGAGTCGCTTTTTCGTTTCATCGTGTTTCAAACTACAATGATTCTAAAGAAGTTTTCACTTCAAACACTACAATTGCCAATCCGTCTGCCAAGCGTAGTGACTATGGCAAATATGCCCCTTATGAGGCAATCTTTGAGTGAGGCCTCTGTACAACAGAAAACTGCTATATCTGTTATAAATAAATGAATGGAAATGTGTATAGAACAAAACGAACCTTAGGCTTACTAATAACTTCATTTTCATGACGCCGTCTTGACACATTGCCACCGAATTATTTGAAAACTATTATCCCATCTGAGGTAGCCAATGGTAAATCGCACTGACCTATTCATTTAAGTAAAGAAAACTAGTTTGTACAGATTTTATTACGTGAAGTAATATACGCGATAAAAGTGTAAAAAAAAACTAGTTTTATTTAATTGTGTAGTGTTCGCGTATAATATAAAAATTCTTTTCATAATGATTTCTTATGTTCTTGCATTGAAGGCACTCACATTGTAATATTTTCAATCACACTCTTTTCCGTGGTAGAGCCATGCTGCAGTTATATTAGTAGTATAGTTGTAGCACGAATGGGTCGACTCGACCGGGGAAAGAAAACGCTCGCACAGAATACCGGCGTAAAATAGCAGCTTAATGCTGTTCGGTTGTTTCGTACGGTGAGTGTGAAGAACCTCAGATCCTTTTTACTGGAAACGAGACATTCCATCTTAGTCCTCGCGGGTGACAACGCATCCGTATTTTGATTCATAATCGAGCATAGATGTAGATATCTATCAAAAGCAACCAGTTACCATCAGGTGGATTGTGTGCTCGTTTTCACCCTTATCATATATAAAAAATAAAAAATAAACTTGAATCTTAGACAGCTCGGCGAGTTGCAGCGCTGATGGCCATGGGTTATAATCCCGTACGGAACAAGTATTGGTATTTTAAATATTTGTTCCGATTGTGTGTCCTTAAGGAATTTATATATGTGCTTCTACAATAGAGGAGAAAATTCTAATGTAGGGTAATGTTTAAAAAAAGAGTCTGTTGGAAACACAGATGATACATATAACGAACGACAAAGCAAACAGTTTGGTTCAAAAACGTGACAGCAAAGGTGCAGAAAGAGTGCAGACTACCCGAGCGTCTGATTTTCCTATGGTGAAACGAAGCATGGAATTCCTGTGTACAGTCTTCTAAATGGTTTTTGTTTTACATAATGATTTCCGTAAAAAATAGTTTTATTCAATGGTTTTTGTTTTACTTATTTCAGCGAAAGTACAACATAATACTTTGAAATAACTATTATGAATTAAAAAAAAAATTAGGCGTCCCCAAAGGAATGGCACATAGCACGGTCCTGAGCCACCTGCATCCATCGATTATCTGCATCTGTTACCAGGTCGACACAGCATCTAGTGTGTGTGTAACTGTGTGTGTGATGTAGTGGAGGCCAGTCCTACAGTTCGCCTATCGTTGTACGATTTTACTATTGTCTATTATACAAAGTGTGTAACGATTACCGCTACCGTTACACTGCACTATAGTAAGCGGGTTGGCAACCGCATTTTTATTTTTATTTTTAGTCCTTATTAGACAGATGCTGATGCCCATATCCTAATTTGTTTCCCTCTGTCGCCTCTCACGACGGCTACAGGATGATATGGGGTAGTGGATATTTCTACACCGCCACAACACGGTACGTGTAACGATTATTATAGAATAAGGAATTTCGTCTATTATAAGTGCTTAAGATAATAACAAATATTGGTATCATTGTGCAAACACTATTGTAATAGCGAAAATATTCAGAGTCGATTGTAATGTACTTTCAAATATTATCTGGTATATTGCAACGAAATCTCCATATCTTGTTTTGACTTTTCTTTATAGAATAAGGGTGACAAACGTGCATACAGTCCACCTGATGGTAAGTGGATGCTGTGGTCCATAGACACATATATATATATATATATATATATATATATATATATATATATATATATATATATATACCTTGAGGACTAAGAAAGATGATTACCAGTCAAAAGGGTCTTCGATTCTCTGTACTCACAATACGAAACACAGCAGCATTAAGCTGCTATTTCACGCTGGTATTCTGTGAGACCGCGGTCCTTCCCCGGTCGAGCCCACTTATTCATGCAGCAACCATAATGTAGCTGCAGCGTGGTTTACCAGTTAATTTTTTCACCTTGCCTTTTAACCTTCATTGATAGGCTCAGGCCTGTTTAGGCCGGCCACATACATACGTAATTCCGTTTCGGGATTCCGTTTCGATATTCCGATTCGGGATTCCGAACGCAGCAAGTCCATATAAAATCTATGACCCGCTACACACGTACATTAATTCTCCGTACGGAGTTTTCTCCGATTCGAGATTCCGTATGACCGCCTGTGCGTTCGGAATCCTGAACGGAAAAATGCTCAGGCAAAGTCTTCCATAGATTTTGCCTGAGTCGCAACATCATATGGAATCTCGAACCGGAGAAATTCCGTACGGAATATTACCGTTCGTGTGTGGCGGGTCCTTGATTTTATATCAACTTGCTGCGTTCGGAATCCCGAAACGGAATTCCGTATGTATGTGGCCAACCTAAATAGCAGTTTACTTACATCTATACATAACCACACACATACAACACAACACACACACACACACACACACACATGCATAGTTTTTGTTACAGTGCCAACATTACATTCATTTTTAATAATTTTTTTTATTATACTTTTTTAAATTAAGTTATGTTTTAAGAAATATTTGTAAACATTAACATATTTAACTATATATTTTTCTTAAAAAAAAACGTTACCCCGACACTAGGATTTTCTCCTGTATCGTGGAGGCAGTTTACAAACAAATATCACAAGATCAAACATACAAATATCTTGTTCCGTGCGGGATTCGAACCCGCGGCCCTAGCGCAACAACTCATTGCTAAGCCACTGCGCTACGGAGCCGTCAATAAACAAATTATTTTATTTTAATAAAAACTAAGAATAGTGAAGGAAAACTAGCCCCTGAAATACAGGTATAATATCCTAGTTCAGGGGCTGTTGACCATTGTAAATATTTGTGAATGTAATATGTTTATCAATAAAGATTATTATTATTATTATTATTATTATAACCTACACCTATCCAAAAATACGGTAAAAACATAAACTTAAAAACAAAACAAAAATAAAACAACATTAAATATGGCGTGCAATATTTGTGCACAGATGTGAGTGCACTGCAATAAAAATAGTAATAAAAATGTCCTACAGACGGAAATTCGTTCACGGCGGCCAACCTCCTCGGACACAAATTTATAATGCACGAGTATTTACACAAACACTGGTGCACTCTATTTTTTAATCTCATAATCCAATGAGATGGCAATCCGACACGACCAGAGAAAGATCACGCGCAGGCATCATCGGTTTTATGTGCTTTCTGTGGCCCGGGGATCAAACACCGTCAAATTCTTGGCTTTAAAAAACTTATTCGAAAAACCAGCAAGAAAGACAGCGTGACAATTTTTTCAAATTTTCATTATATGATAAAAATAAGTTGTAAAGTTAAAAAAAAAACGTAGTTTTTCTTAGTACATATATTATTATTGATAAACGTATTATATTATTTATTAACAAATAACATAAATGAATTACTAGCGTCTACTAAAATAATAATAATAATAATAATAATAATATTTATTTATTTCTCCCACTTTTTATACAGTTTCATTTCTTACATAAATAGTTTAAGAGTTT